TCACTCTTTAAAGGGTGTTGGTTTTATTATAAATTTTATTTTATTTTTATGTAAATTTCACATTCATAAATGCAAGTTTACAAAAGGCAAACCTCTTTTTATGGTGCTTGGAAAAGAGATTAAAATGTTTGTAGATGTGATGTCAAAATCTAAAAATAGTAAAGCAATTAAAACGATTAATATATGCTCCTCCTTTAACATTTTCACATAATGTTAAAAAAACAACAATAATAATAAATAATGGTGCTGACCTGCAAAGTATATTTTCTGTATTAAAATTTGCATTGTAATATCCTATGGAAATGTAAATATATGTATAATATGTATTTCTCTGTAAACTGATGTTTATGTACCCTCTTTTTTATTTTATTTTTTTTTTCCTTTTCTTTTTCCGTGTTCCTTCTTGTTGAGGCATGTGAAATGTTTTTGTTATATAGTGAGACATGGCACTGTACATGCTACTTGTTGACAATAAAGCATAAAAAAAAAAAAAAAAAGAATGCTTAGGGACATTTTACTCTGTTTTGGTTGGATTTAGGAAATGGAACAAAATAAATTACATTGCCTATCCTCTCAGGATACCTGGAATTAGTGTTACAAGTACCCTAGGCACACCGTTTTTCCATTTTTGTAGCATAAACACCATTAAACCGATGCGAGCTTTGGATCTTCCAATGTTTCTCTATGGCGCTGAAACCTAAAGATGTCCGAGTTCTGCTCCCCGTGCAACTGATACTCGACTGCCATTGGCTCATCTGCGTTCGAGGGGAGGGCTTAACGATAGGTCAAATTGGAACATCCATTTAAATTTTTCTGGATTTGGGGGTTTGTTTGTTTTTCTGGACTCTGTTTTAAAAGTAACCAAAAAGCATGTCTGATTAATTGAAGTCATAAAACGTATACAACTTCATTTATTAAAAATTGCATTAAACTTTTTTAGGCCCCTGAAAATATAGTATATGAAAATATACTATACTTTATTACCTTTGCATTAAATTACAAACAAATAGTAGCAAATAGGTTACAAATAGTAACCGCTACTGAGGGTGTTTGCAGCTGTGGGAGTGACTGTAAATTTGTTATCAACCTCTCTCTATTTTCATCTCTTTCTGAAAGCTGTGAGTTTTTCATTTGCTATTTGAGCAAATGGGAACACACACACACAGGGGCGCCTGCAGGATTTCATCTGAGGGTACGCACAGACTTTTTTTTTTTTTTAGTCAAAAACAGCACTTTAAAGGCCAATTCAATTAAATATCTTGAGCATGTAACTACACGTCTTTAAGACTTGAGGACCAAATGATCAGTGACAGCAACACCGAGCAGGTGTCACGCGTTTAAAAACAGTACGAAAACAGCAAACATCAATAAATTGATAACAATACATCCATCAAGAGCATGCTCACAGCTGGTAAACAACAATAGACAACAAAACAAGGCTGATGTGGATATTCACGATTGGAAAAAAAAAAACTTACTGTAAGTTTTAATTAAAATAGCCTAGTCTACTGTTGGTGCATGACCGCTTATTCATGACACAGCTTAATTTTCACAAAGTTAGCCTCTCAATAAGTAGCTTTTGTTTCAGTTATTTGTAGGCATTAATAATTCCCTTCAGGTCTGGTTTTACGGAGGTGCTAAAGATGAAGCTGTAATACTAACGTTGGCGAAACAGATCTGGCAAACTACCCAGTATATGCGTATTTGTGTTTGCTCTCTAGAGAGCGTAAAAGGTTTCCATTTACAACGTGTTTTACTGCATTTAGACTTGAATCTACTTCATCCAGCGCTATTTGTTATATGTGTTCTTAAGTATCTCATTACTGTTTGTTTTACTGTCGGAGGAACGCTTCATATGATTCATATGACTCAAAATAATGATTAATTCATAATTAGTGGCATGGCTAGTTCACTTGACAGAAATACGGGACACACATCATAACTGGTGAAATATTTGCAGGGCAGACGGACAGGTCAGGTCAGCCGAAGCGCTCATGGTACACCACAGTTCGTACAGCCGTACACCTGCAAGCGCCACTGCACACACACACACACACACACACACACACAAATACATTGAATGTAGTCTCCTGTTTACCTCTATAGAAGTTTATCCAACTACTATGACTTCTGCTTCTGAGAAACATGGAAATGTAAAAAAAAAAAAGGGCCATTATAAATATAATTTTAATAATAATAATTTTTTTTTTTTTTGAGAAGTGCATTCTGTAGTACTATAGTAATATATCTCACATATTAAACCACTTTTATTTTGACAGGTTGTCATGAAGACCTTTGAGTTTCTTTGTGATATACGATTGTTTTATCAAATTAAATGGTGAAATGCTGGTGAAGTGACTCTCAGAGCAGCTCTGGAGATGAAGTTCATGCCCTTATATAGTGAGAAAGCAAATGCTAAACACCATGAATGTCACATATACTTCAGTATGTGTAGTGCAGAAACTGCCATCCATTCACACAGAGAAATTCAGACGTAGGGCTGACTAAATTACAGAGAACCGAATGATGCTGTTATAATGACAAGATGTAATAAAGCTACAGTAAATATATTTAATGGTGTGAATCAATTTTAAGGAAACTCACTATCCTTGGCAGTTCAACTAAATTTTAAATATAGTTACATGCAAAAAAAATGCATTTACATTTTAACATATAGCAAAACTTGTCAATGATACAAATACACAAAACAGTGATTCAATTTGAAATATGCATTTAAGCAGAGTGATGCATACATTCATCAAGTCTTGTATTATTATTTTTTAAAAAGAATGTTGCAGTATTTATCATAATTTATCCAAACACATTTTTTTTTCTAAACGTTCCCTTGTATCCCACTCGTAACAACATTTGAACATTTCTTTTAAGTGTATACTGGTGTGAAGGCTGGGAAATAAGGTTGCCCAATGGCCAGCCAAGTTTCAATCCCTCCCCTCCAGCAACTTCTCACTCCACAACTGTCTGCAAACTTGCATTCAGATGTGCCTGCATTTAGTTTGCAAAACAACTTTCTTTGATTCAATCAATTCCAAACAGATGAAGACCAGGGGCCTAATGTATAAACGTTGCGCAGGCCTACGCACAAAATGGGCGGGCATAGAAATGTGCGTACGCTGTTTTCCACGTACGTATCTGGATTGATAAAAAACAAACTTGTCGTAAATATGTGCTCACCGTACGGATGCTCTTGATTGTGCGTACGCACTCTTTTTCCTGGAGTGAGAAAAGTAATGAAGTAAACAAGGATTTTAAACTGATTTCATTTCGATATACACATTTACTCTCATTAATGGAGATAGGCACTGAAATTACATAAAGTCATTACGCAGAAGTTAAACAAAAATTATATGAATTTAGACATTTATAGTGGATGCGCTTGATCACTTTTCCTGTGGCTATGTTCTAAAGACAGCGAGGAGTGCAATAGGTGCACAATAATACATCTTTAAACTAAACTGCAGATCTCATGTTATGAGAAAATATAAATATTTAGCGAGAACAATGATCAATGATGCGCAATTATGGCGGACACTGCTTCGTGGTCGAATGGTCCATTGTCCAGTTTGAATATGTCCAATGATAATAGCTTACTGTACAACATGCAGCTGCACAGAGGTTGATGTCGTGTGTAGGCATCTCCACAACATTATGAAAAATACCACTGTATTTGAAGGATTCAACTTAAAGAAAATGGTAAGATTTACACGTTTCCATTTTAAAATGTCAGTGACGCGCCGAGTCAGACAATTGTATTTACACTGCAATAAATATAATCTGTTTCCACTAAAAATAGCTAAAAGATGGTCACCTTATCAGCAAAACTGCATAAATTTCATTTGATTTGAGTTGTTTGAAACAGTTGAAATATTATTTGGCCAGTGTAAAACAATGAGATCATCTCTATTCTAAAATATTTATCTGATAACTATTTTAAACAGTATTTTTTATGGATATTTTGATATATTTATTCTAAAACATAACAAGGATATTGGATGATTTTTAGCAATAAAAATTAATGTATGGCACAAATGGCATTTATAGTCCGTATCTCATATTTCCTTAATGTATTTTATCTTTGACAGTGTTAAACATGGTGTCACGTGGATGGGAATATACATGGAAATGATATGCAGATGAGGTTATGCATAGTAAAACTAGGCGTTGTAAGCTCCATATATGGTTATTTCAGGGAGACGGGGTGGAGATGCACGTACGCACAATCTTCCCCTGCCTGTGATTTATAAAGGGATTTTTGCGCAGGTTCTAGTGTACGCATGGGTTTATAAATCTGCGTACGCAAAATGTAGCTTTTGTGCGTACGTACACTTTTAGAATGAAATCTACGGAGAGTTTTATAAATGAGGCCCCATACCTATATTTTTTGTACTATGTTTCACTACATTACATTAGGGAAGAAAAGTTGGTTACATGTTCTATTTCATGCTGACTTTAAACACATGATTTGCAGTTTAAATTGATATGAGGATAAATATCTGCTACAGACATTGCTATGTGGAGAATACAAATGCCCAGTCCGGAGTTCATCCAAATAGAAAACAGGTCTTGCAGGTTATGCTGAGTTAACAATTGTCCATAAAGGCACTCCCCAAATACAGCTACTACACAGCACTGGCCAGCAGCAACAGCAGATATTATTAGACAAGTTATTGTCAATGTTTCATTGGCAGGGAGCACATGTTCAAGTGGTCATATGTGGTCATATCTATCCACACACACACACACAGTGAAAAATAACACAAGCAGTCATGACTCTTGCTGAAACAAAGCCTTTGTGTAATTCAGCCAAAATGCCTTCAGCTTCAATGCCCAACCACATGACCCAGATTTCTGAGAGGTGGAGTTGGGTATAACACAAAGCAATCAGTCTAGACTCCGGACTAAACTCCATAAGACTAAATACTTTTCAGTCATATTTTTTATTTATTTGTTTTAGAAGTTATTATTAACATGTTAGGTCATACCCTGTGCCGCAGGCTACATCCAACACCTTCTGTACCCCATGTTTTCTGAGCAGGGACAGCAACCAGCACTTGTACTCCTCTGTCCTGCTCCGAGTGTCTCCGATGTACAGCTGCCACACTTTCGCTGCTTTACCGTCGGCATACTGATCAGGAAGACCAACTACACCTACACCGAGAGAGCGTGTACGGTAAACACTGTCCACCATACTGAATTATCACGCCACGTGAACGGTTCGTCTTCTGGATCTGAGTAAATCTCCTGTCTTGTTTTGTTTGAGTTTCTTTTACATGCTTATTTTGTTGACACTTATATCGCGTCGGTGTTGAAACAGAAACTTTTGACCAATCGGACGCGTGAATACACTCACGCCTCCATTTCCATTGGCCGAGACTTGTGATGACGTGGCAAGGCTGGAAGATACACATCAGACCTATGTTTCATCAGATTTTTAAAAGGTTAAAAGAGTAAATGTCAGGAAAAGTGTGATTGATATTTGACATCAGGACGATATTGTAGAATCATAGGCATTAGGACATAAAGGATTTTACACTTTGCTTCTGAAGTTAAATGTAAAGTAAAACCTGATGCTGAGGTAGCTACAGGAATGGCTAGATTACTCAAGTACACCCGGCTGCAGCCTACAGATCGAGGCGGGGTTA